CTACTACTACTGCTACTACTAATCCTGCGACGACGACGACAACAACAACTACTACTACCACTACTGCTACCACTACTACTACTACTACTACTACTACTACTACTACTCCTGCTGCTGCTGCTGCTGCTGCTGCTGCTGCTGCTGCTGCTGCTGCTACTATGCATAATAGTCAGAACCACAAGAATAAATATATTCATATCAAATAATAAGAGTAACAAGAATTATCAGAACCACAAGGAGAATAATAGTAATGATCAAAATATTACTGCTAGTAATTAGCAATATTACATGTTACAGTTTTCATACTATTAGTAATAAAAAGACTAAGCATAAAAATCACAACACTGACAGTAACATACCTTATAGTAACAAGAATACTAACAATAATATTAACATCAATATCAGCAATATAATAACAATAAGATGCTGTCAAGAACAAGAATCATAATACTAACAATGCTAATGCGAACAGTAATCACAATATTAATTAGGTGGAAGCAAAATTATTTGTAGTAATAAACATGCAAATAATATTATTAGTATATACTGTAGCTTTCAAAACCTCGGGCTACCTTCTAGTTGCTAGCATGTCTGCTGTGTGTTTGACACGATGTTCATGTCATCGTCGTGTCTAGATGTGTCATTGCGTGCTCGACTGTTTGCTTTCATAGTACATTTGGAACAAAGCCGGCCTGTGGCTTCGGAGGTGCTAGACAGGCACGTGTACTCCAAAGTGCACCTGCAGGGCAGACTCAGCAACACGTGTCCATATGGGTAGTTGTCAAAATTATGGTCCCTTTTGAGGTACCTTAAATAATAGGTGCCGTATTATAATAAGGACCCCCAAAAGGACCATCATTTTGACAACCACCCATATTCCAGTGGTAGGCACGTCGGGCCAAGACGGCTACCACAGACAGATCCTTGGCTGCAATTGAACATTGATGCTCAGAGTGCTTTGGTGTCTTCAGCGCCGGGATGCTTCATTGTGAGCTCGCTTGTTGCAAGATGCGGTGAACTAAACTGCGTTGCTTGCTGAAGGAGCCAGAGGGACTTCGCAGAACAATCATCAAAATGTCATCAGTATGAATGATATTAGTAATAATAAACAAATTAAAGCAAATGCAATTTCAAGTATAGTAACCAATAGAGCACTAGGAATGGTAATAATCATCGTGCTAGTTATCAAAGTTTCTATAATGCCAAGGAAAGGCACTTGGGGCAGTCTTCTTTGCCCTCAGTGTCCTGCGCAAGCTTTGCAACCACCCAGACCTCCTGATGAATGGCTACGACGGTAAGGCTCGGGCCGGAGCTTAGCGTTTGGGGATGAGGACTGTATGATGCTGTGCTATACTATACTAGACCACACTTGGACTAGACTATACTATGCAATACTTGATTCTACTTTACTAAACTAGACTATGCTATACCATACTAGACGATACTAAACAAGACCAGACTATGCTATGCTGTACTAGACTATACTTTACTGATTAGCCTATGCTATATATACTAGACCATACGTTACTAGACTAAAATGTCTTATGCTAGACTAGACTATACTTCACTAAACCATACTATGCTATACCGACTCTGGTCCATCTCGAAGGCGGAGCAGAAGGAGGAGCCTGGCGAGGAGTTGTGGAGCTTCGAGAAATCCGGTAAGATGAAGGTGGCTTTTAGTTTGATTTGCAAGGAGGCTCATGGCTAGACCTAAGGATTTTGCTTTGCCTTCCTCATGTTCTCTTTTCAGGTCCTAGCAGAGATCATGAAACTCTGGCATCGGGATGGGCATCGGGCCCTGATCTTCGTGCAGACCGTGCAAATGTTGGAGGTCCTGGAGCTCTGGATGAGTCGTGTGGGCTATACGCACTCGCGCATCGATGGAAAGACGCCCGTGAAACGCCGGCTGAAGCTGATCGAAGAGTTCAACGAGAAGAACGACCTGTTCGCGATGCTTTTGACTACCCGTGTCGGTGGGGTTGGCTTGAATATTGTCGGAGCCGATCGGGTCCTCATCTTTGATCCCGACTGGAATCCCATGACAGATGTGCAAGCACGTGAACGAGCATGGCGCATCGGGCAGAAGAAGGAGGCTGGCTGAGCCGGGTCGCCTTCAGAAGTGTTGGAGAACTTCCGCTCATAGTCTAGCGAATGCCATGCTTGCTGGTGTGGGGATAGGATGTTCGATATGTGCGAGGCAGACTGCTTTAAACATGCTTCCTGCGCAGGTTTCCGTCTACAGGTTGGTACTCACCGGCACGGTAGAGGAGAAGATCTACCATCGCCAGGTCTACAAGCATTTTCTGGCACAGAAAGTCTTGCAAGATCCCAGGCAGAGACGGTTCTTCAAGTGGAATGACATTTCGGATTTGTTCGAAGTGCCTCCTCCACCTCCAAATGTAACAAAGATGGATGTGTTGGCCCTCCAAAGAAAGTATCGTGCAGCTTTCAGCAAGCTCGACAAGCTGGGGGAGACGGGCGAGTTCGAAGTCGAGACGACCGAAATCATGAAAGCTGTCTCAGATCTGCCCATGAAGGATCAGCACAACACGAGCAAGAACACCAAGGATGAGAGCAATGCTATCCTGCAGACCTTGTACGATGCTCAGGGCATCAAGGCAAGCTTCAATCATGAAGCTCGGCAGATGCCTAATGTAGACCCCTGATCAAGAAACCCCTCTCCGCTGTAACAGGGATCCTGATACCTTGGTTTTTTAGGAAGGGGGTTTTGTAATGAGGGGTGTGCATGAGTGGGTTAAACATTCGTGGGTTGCACGGATTCAAGGAAACGAGCCTCAAGCCTAGTCGGCCAGCACCCTCACCCTCGACCCCGCCACTGGTTGTAGTCTTTCATCATATCCCCTCGGCTGTGAGAAGCCTCAGCTGGGATGTTGGGCAGCGACAGCTCAGGATAAAGTCGAGCAGACGCTGTTGGACCGGAAGCACCTAGCTTGCATGTGGTCTTCAGGTCCTTGGAAGGAGCAATGCTTCGAAGCGCTAAGAGTGTCGGATTCCTGGTGTATTCACAGGAACCCTAGTGTGACTTCAGACCATGTCCCTGGGGCAACACCGGTGCAAGGTGTGGGTTTCAGCAGAGGAGCCCGACACCAGAGAATGGAATCCAGGACACTTGCTCAACCTTAGACTCACCCTCAACCGACAGCCCTCTGCACCGGGATAGCATCCTTGCGCTTTGCTATGCGATACGATGCCATGCGATGTTAGACCTTACTCTGCAATGCTATACCAGGCCATGCTGGACCATGCTCGACAATGCTATACACTGTGCTATGCTTTGCCATGCCTTGCTCTGCTAGACTTTACGACCCCATGTTACACTATAACCATCCCATGCGATCCAAAGGTTCGTTGGCTAATACAAATTCTAATACACATAGTGTTGCTAATGCTATTCCTTCTGATACTCATACGATTCCTATAAATGCTAATGCTAGTAGTGATGCTAAATCTTAAATGCTCATGCTAATGCTAATGTTCATGCGAATGCTAATGCTAATGCTAATGCTATGCTAATATTATTATTAAGACTAAATACAAATACTCACACATACTAATACTAATACTGATACGAATGCTGAGACTGATATTACTACCACCTGCACTAGCACTAATACTCATAGTGTTCTTGTCAGCTTCTCCACCTTTAACAACAAGGAGGTGGAGTGGTTGATGTGGTTTGCTGACATGCAGTAGTCGTGGAGGCTGCCGCTTCCCAGCTGATGCAGGATTGGAGTCTGGGTTCAAAACTAGCACGAATACCAATCCTAACACTAGTGCAAATACAAAAAACAACTGCTGGCGCTGGTAGAACCTTTGGATGCAACGGTCGCGGGAGAGAGAGAGGCAGAGAGAATACTCTGTTTCTACGCGCGAAACATTCTTATTGGAAATCGTGTCATCGAGAGTGTGCGTTTGTTGTGAACCACCATCGTAGACTTTATGCCATAGCCTTACGCTCGTTCTCACTCCCCCAACAACCCGATCACAAAGTTCGGGTAAGTTTGAAGCCGGGGGACTTGACAGAGAGAATACTAGGCCAGCAACAAGCAAGCAAGCAAGCAAGCAAACAAGCAAGAGAGAATGGACATATCAGTATTCCAGCTAGTACTAGCTACTAATGTAGATGCTACCAGAAAAGGCCAACGCCAGTACAAATTAATGCTACCAGAGAAAGCTAGCACAAATACAAATCGCTGTACTCAGAAAATGCTAAGCCCTCAACCCTAAACCCTAAAAGGGCTCCACATATGTCCGTCACGCATGAGAGGTGTGACGCTCGACCGTTGCAGCACAAACAGTAGGGAATGAAATAAGTGCAACAAGTAGCGGCTGTGTGAGAGAGTGAGAGTCGAAACCCTAAAAAGGCCCAAACCCTAAACCCTAAACCCTAAACCCTAAACCCTAAACCCTAAACCGCGTATAATTTGGAATTCGGAATTGACCTCGCGTCGTGCCAATTCATAATTTAGTCAGCAACTTGCCAACGACACTACAAGAGGAGGACGCAGTCACGTGTTGACTTCTGCTGTGGCATTTTGCCGGCAGGGGAAAGATCAAGGCCTAAGGATTTCTGAGACATGTGGGTGACTGTCAGTTACGAGGACTTCTGAGAGCTGCCTGCTTGGTCCGACCGGGTATGTGTTCCTTGTTTTCAGGTCTGACGAAACATTAGTTAGATCTGTCTGTGTGGACTGCCTGTGAAAGGTTGAGCCGCTTAATTAATTGAGCTGAAACACAGGCTTGATTTGCTAGACAGAGACGTTGCGTTACCCTGCATTGCGGGCTTGTCCTTGCTAGGTAGGAGGCAAAAAAACCCTAAACCCTAAACGTTCGAGCTGGTTGAAACCCCTAAACCCCTAAAGCCCTAAAACCCTAAACCCTAAACCCCTAAACCTCTAAACCCTAAACCCTAAACGACCCGGGTTCGCTTTTTTCAGACTTCGGGCCGAGGTCTCAAAATTTTCTGGAGGAATTTCAACATACCTTCAACCCTAAACCCTAAACCCTAAACCCTAAACCCTAAACCCTACTACTTGGAGGGTCATGGGTAGTCATAAGTGGGGTTATAAGTCCCCTAATATGGGTTATAACTGTAGTTACTTTACTTATAACCCCACTTATAACTACCCATGAGCCTCCAAGTATCTTTGATGATACAAATCCTGCATTACCTTAAGGACCCTAACCTATGGGAACTATGGTATATTCCTTAATATGGGTAATGCAGGATTTATATCATCAACCCCAGTAGCCGGACCATGCGGGCAGGACTGTATCCAGATGGTCTCTGCCTCTGACGCTCAACAGCTTTTCCTTTGTGTTTGAGGGACGCGGTGGTGGTTCGTATTGGCTTCAGTCTATCCTGGATTGCGGAGGCCTAAAGTCTACATCTTGCCCTCTGATACTGTCAGGGAGAGTGTAACTGGAATGCAATGGCATGGGGTTTAGCATCCTAAACCCCTGAATCCGAAATCCACGCCCCTAAACCCTAGACTTTAGCCCGAAACCCTGAAGTTTATACGTTCGAGACGAGGGGGCCTAGGGGTTGAGATGTTGGGTCATTGTAGGTGGCACTACCATAGGCCCCATAGTAGTTCATTTTTGGGATTACCTTATAGGATTAAAAGTATGAACTCCAAAAAGGAACTACTATGGGGCCTATGGGTAGTCACTAGTAATGGACTTCTTCGAACCCCGTGCCCTCTGCCAGAATGACATCGCAGAGCATAGAGTAACATATGGACTCGAACGCAACATATCGTCAATGTATATATGTTGAACGTGACATATACATACATATATTTATATACATCTATATATGTGTATATATATATATATATATATATTCCAACCTGGTACAATGTCGCTATCCTTATCTGGTCTGACTTCGGGTGCTAAACCCCAAACCCCGAAACAGGTTCATGACAGCTTTTACTTACAGGAAGTAGCTCATTCCGTTTCGGGTTTATAGGGTCTGGAAGAGATCCTGTTATGGGTGCTCTGAAGTACTGTCGGCGAATGGTCTCGTGCCGAGTCCCGGATGCCTCAGTTTTACATGCATCTGCCCGTGCGAGCCCATGGAGGTAAGGATCCGATCGGTTCGCCTGTCTCATGCGTAGCCCGAGAAACTCCAACACCCCGACACGGCGCAGGACCGTTAAGCTACCATAGGGGGTTTAGGGTTTAGGGCCAGCTTAGGGTTAATTCGTGTTGCCAAGTACTGTAGGGGCTACTGAAGGGTTGCTGCAGAGAACCTTCAAACAGAACCGCCAACTCTACTTCCTACACCCTGCCATGTGGGCCCGTCTTTGCGAAGTAGGAGGCAACAAAACCCTCACAATGGAATTGTCCTTGAATAAAGCCCTATAGATCCCTTCCCTAAGGGTGCGAATAATTACATATCATCCATAATTGGGGGATTAGGGTGTAGGGTGGCATGCTATGCCTCAGAGGCCTATTCCAACTATCGTGGCCCGCCCGCCCAAAATAAGGACGCCGAGCCCCATCCCATCCTAGATGATCCTCGACGGAAAGGGATCTTAACTTGGGAGACAGATTGGAGCTTCTGGGGCAGGTCCTGTCGGTAGTGTTTTTAAAGCATCCCGAAATCGGGTGCTGCGTTTAGAAGGGCCTACAGTTAATTCTAGTGCTCGGACAGCAACGGTTCTGAAATGGGGGGGCTCCCTTCGTGGGTCCCCCCTCTGAGCTATCCTAATCCCAAAGGTACCTCTATGGGGGATACTTAATTACTCAAAGAAAACTTGTTATTCACACTACAGAAGCCCTCCCTCCGACTATGTTGGTATTTAGGGCCCTTGAGGAATGTAGAGACGACGAGAAGCCCACCATTTTCCCGAGTGTCCCTGTCTCTATCTCTATCTCTCTCCTTCTTTGAACCTTTGGCCCTGGCCCTATAACGCCCAAGACCTATGCCTGAAGGTCTGCCAGCCCGGGTTCAGGGCTTTAGGATGCTTGGCTCGCCCTTCACTGTTGAGCCAGCGATGCAGGAGGCAAAAGCAATCCTTCAACCCCAAACCCAGAACCCAAGAATACGAACTTCAAAAACTATGAATCTTCAGTCAGATCCGTTCTCTACGGTGCAGGGGGGCCAGTTCTCTGAACCATGCTTAGAGGCTCAGGGAACTGGTATGCAACACTAATAGGGGCTTTTAAAGCTTCTATGAGGTTTCGGGCTTGCTTGACGGATCAACAGGACTTCCTGGTTACGAGTGGGTCATAAGTAGAGTCTTGATTACCCTAATTTCGGCGTCATCTTCCTTAGAACTTATGCCTTTACTAATAAAGCCTCCTGACACCGTAAGTAGGCCCTGTCTGCCTGGAAGTCTCAAGGCGTAAGGAAGAGCCTAAGAGCCTTTGGGGTCGGATATACTTTAGGGTTTACCTTAAGAACCCA